TCTCATTTCCCAGCCATCCACTTTCTCCTAGGTCTCATTCTACCTACTTACCATGGGAGGTGTCACCATTGTATTTACTTCCTTCATGCCAATTTCAATTAAATCTAGATCTCCTGAGTTTCTTATTCATCAGCCTCTTGGACATCTTACTTCTGATTTATCTTTCACTATCATCTTTGATTTCTATTGTATTTGTTTCCTAAATCTGCTGTAACAAATTTCCACAGAGTAAGTGGCTAAATACAACAGAAATTTATTTTCTCATAGTTCAGGAGGCTAGCAATTCAAATCAAGGTGTTAACAGAGTTGGTTCCTTCTTTTAGATGCAGAGGGAGTCTGTTCCATGCCTCATTCTTAGCTTCTGGTTGTAGACAGCAAACCTTGGCATCCTGTGGTTTAAAGTTCTGTAACTGCAGTCTCTACCTCCATTGTCACATGTTCATCTTCCTTCTATATATTTCTGACTTCTATTAAAAGACATCCTTATTCCAGTTTGACCTCATCCTAACTAATTGCATCTGCAGTGACCCTATTTCTAAATAAGGTCACATTCTGAGATTCTGGGAAGAACATGAATTTGAGGTAGACATAATCTAGTACACCCACCAAATCTACTCACGTTCTCACATTGCTATGTTCACAAGTAGCGCTAGCTTACAACTACTAACCAAGGATCTGAGAAATATTCTTGACTGCTCTCTCTCTGTATAATTTCATATCCCAGATATTATTAAGCTTAATTATTTTCAGGTCCTGACATTTCTGGAATGTGAATAGTCTTCATTCCTCATTCTATTGCTCTAACTCACTCCTTAGAAACCCTTGCTTTGAACAACTAAAATAGTTTGTTGAATGCCCCTCAAAACTAACTTTTTCAGAGGTTACATGTACAACAGGTCATGTATGTATATATGGTTGAAAGACATTAGAAATGGGTTGGGTTTTTTTTCCCCCCTGGTATTTTCTAACTTTTCACTACTGTGGAAAGTTCCACTTCTGTACTACAATGCCACAGAACTATGATGGATATCCTTCCTGAGGAATAGAGGAACTAAGAACTAAGAGGCATAACAGTTTCTGTGGAAGCAGCAGCCTTTGTAACTTCTTCTTTTGACTTGATAGATTATTTTTTTTTTTTAAGAGAGAGAGAGAGAGAGAGAGAGAGAGAGAACTTTAGTGTTTATTTTTGTTTTTAGTTTTTGGCGGACACAACATCTTTGTTTGTATGTGGTGCTGAGGATCGAACCCGGGCCACACGCATGCTAGGCGAGCGCGCTACCGCTTGAGCCACATCCCCAGCCCCGTGACTTGATAGATTCTTAACAAACCTTCCAAATGTTACAAAATCCATCATACCTATCATCTGGTTTTTTATAAGATTTCAAGGCCTCTTTGGGAAAGCCAGACAAAATGAACTTATTTCAGCCTTTTGAGATTGAATATTATCCCTGACTCCAGAAGCTCTATGATAAAAGTACTTATTTTCATTTATAAAAATAAACATATATCATAAACAAATGTAATCACATGAGTTATAAGCCTTCCTTGTTTACACACACACACACTGATTTTAAGAATGGTGTTGTCTTCTCAAGATACATTAGGTCAGCCCATCAAAATTAGTCTAGAAGTAAATCATTTTGTGATTATTAAAATTAAGCATGCTTGGGAAGACTACTCAACTCTTTACTTTCTTCTATGGCTTTCCTCCAGAAGCTATAACACGGGGCCTCAGTTTCCCCCTTTATTTCACTCCCTAAAATGAAAAACTATAGTTACCAATGCTGATTCCCACACCCCATGGAAATGGGGTTCTTCATTCATCAGCATAGCACATCTTAGGGCTTATAAGGAAGCCAGGACTGTGGGAAGGAAGAGTCCAGGAAGGTGTCTGGCTCCATTTTTACCATTTGTGAATTCTTTTGTTGTTGCTCTTTCAAACAAGTGAACTCTCCTTTTAACAAAGAATACAACTCTTGGACATAGTTATGTTCTTAAGACTAGAGTGACTGGAAGACACAAATCTAATATGCTCTGTAAAGTCTGTAGTATGAACTATCCCTGGGAAGACTGTTTTTGTTGTTGTTGTTGTTGTTTTTTGTTTGTTTTGTTGTTGTTGTTTTTTTGCAGCTGCGAACTGGAAGTCTTTTATCATATCATTTATTGTTTGCTTCTGATGTTCAGAAAGGAATAGTTTTTTTTTTCCTAATTCAATCAAACTTTTGCATTGAAAATATTTGCTGTCAAGCCATTCAGGGCCAAGTCTCATCAACATCTTGAAATACAATTTTTAAATTGCTCTCATTCTCAATTTCAGTGGAAATCTAGCCTTGATTAACCTAGTTAGCATTTAAAAAAAAAAAAAAAAAACCTTAAGCAAGAAATATTACTGAGAAAAGTTGCTACAACTTTTAAAAATTTGTTTGCTGTACTTGAGCTCTAAAATTCAAAGGAAGTGAAGTGTTTTATCTCAACCCTCTCTCCACATACATATAAAATCATATTTGGTCCACTAAGAAGCCTCCATTCCTCTAGAGCAGTCTACATTTTGTAAATATATAATTTCTACCCAAAATCATTTTATGATGTTCTTTAAAGATTAGACACAAGTCTAGCATACAACCAAGATATTCTACTCCTAAGTATCTACCCAAGATAAATGAAAGCCAATGATATAGCAAAGACTTGCATGTGATTTGCATGATTCATAACAGCCCCATGTAGGAAATATTTCAAATTCCCATCAACTGGTAAATAGACAGAATATGGTATATGCATATGATGAAAAATTATTCAGCAATAAAAACACATACCACAACGTGGATGAACCTCAAAATCATCATGCTAAGTTAGTAAAGCCATAAACAAAAGAACACATGATATATTATTCTTTTTATATGAAATATTCAGAAAAGGCAAATCTGTAGAAACTAAAAGAAAATTAATGGTTGCCTAGAGCTAGGGTGAGAACAGTGACTATAAATAGGCATGAGCAACCTTAAAGTGATGAAAATATCCTAAAACTAGATTTTAATGGTAGTTTACAACTTGGAGATTGTTATAAAAATCATTGATAGGGCTAAGTTTCTCAAAATCATTTGCCTGTAAAAGGGATACACTGTATAATTTGTAAACTTGCAAATTATACTTCAAATTTGTAAAAAAAAAATCTGTAATGCAAACTGCAACTGTAATATTATGAGGAAAATTACATTTACCGATTATCAATGTAAACTGGTCAGCTTAAAACTGACCAATGAAGAGAAAAAATCCTTTAACAGAAATAAAACTTGCCACATTTTTTAATATTCTGCATAATGTAATCCATTATTAATATGATATTTTGTTGAATGTGGTGAAGATTAAAAAGTCAATTACTAAAAACTTCTCCAAATTTTCTTCTCAAACTTTGCTTCAAAATTGAACATTTGTACTTCCTAAACACCTTCTTAGAAAGGAACTCTCTTAAGATAGTGTCAGTACAGGGGCACTGAAAAATGCTTAACAATCTCAGGAAACAAATTTTTGAAAAATGCTGATCTAACCAACCTTGACCCAGAACCTACTTGCCTGACGTCCCAGTGCTTCCTGTGAGCTTTATGGTAATCAGTTCTCATTTTAATAATTCAAATTCTGTGCTTTTTGAATATTAAATTCCAGGGAGACATTTTCAAATGTGTGGCAATATCTGTAAGAAGGAAGGCATCTTATGAGAGAGGAAGTGGACAGATGGAGTTTGAATCTAGAAGTATACAAAGAAATGCTTCAAGAGTAATTCTAAGATGGGCGTGGTAGTTCATGCCTATAATCCCAGAGACTAGGGAGACTGAAACAGGAGGATCGCGAGTTCAAAGCCAGCCTTACCAATTTAGCAAAGGCACTAAGCATTTTAACAAGACCCTGTCTCTAAGTAAAATATTTTTAAAAGGGCCGGGGATGTGGCTCAGTGGTAAAGTGCTCCTGGTTCAATCCTGGCTTTAAAAAACAAACAAACAAAAAATGTAATTCTAATCCATTTTCAGTATCCAACCATTGACGAGTGTTTTAGTTTTCATTTTATTTTTTCTAAGTGAGAGTTTAAGTGGTCATCAGCTTTAGATAAGGACCTACACGGTCCTGCATGGACTCCAGTTAACACCACCACCTGCAGGGACAGGGATGTTTCAGTGATTTCCTTGCGTCTAGCTCCTGCCCTTCGCTTTTCTGAAGGATGAGTTAGGCAGGCTGCTCTTTCAGGGTTAAGTTCTACTAAGACCTGACGACCTATGTTCTCAACCTGACTTGGGAAGGCACTTATGACCCCGGGGATTGGGTCAAGCAGGATCATCTGCCCTGAGAAGGCACCTTCAGAAACTTCCACAAAGGGCTGTAGCAGCAGCAGTTTCCTGAGATCTAGGAACTCTGCCCCTTCTGCTCCTGGGACCACCTTGCATGCAGGTCCCTCTTCAGGGGCCGCCCCAGGTCCTAGAAGAAGGAAAAAGCCCAGACGCTACAAGCGAGGTCATCCGTTACAGAAACCGGTAGAATGAGGTGACTTCACTAAAGTCACACAGCTTACCGCTGGAAGAGCTGGTTGGAACACATATCCCTGCTGACCCCGTGGCCATTGGCTGCCTGGGGCTTGGACAGAGCTGCCCAAAGAAAACGACGTGGCATTGCCGGTTCGATTGTGAAAAGGCTCAGCAACTCCTAACAGGAGGTCACCAATACCCACCTTCAGTGGCGAGTGAGCTAAAAGCAGATGACCAGACATCCCGGATTACGCCTGTTGACCTGAGCGCCTCCTTTCACTCTATTGAAAGAACCCTAGCTAACAGTTCAAGATTTGGTCGACCTAGTAAGAGATATCTGCCTTGAATTTCCCCAATGCTGTGCAGACCCGGCGGAAAATGGGAAAGTTGCACTTACATCGTTTGCTCAGTCTCCCCGACTCCCCTAGTCCCTTCCCTCCGTCCTTTCATCAGTGACACGGATTCCTGCCCGGTCCTCCAGGTACATACCAGCCGCGCGCAGAGATGCCGGCGTTGCCTGGGCCAGGTCCTCTCTTGCTAGGGCTCTCCCAGCCTCTCCGCGACGCGTAGCTGCGACGCGGGCTCTAGCTCGCTGCCGCCTCTACAGTCCACCGGGCTGTGGCGGCGTCTGAGTTGCTGAACTAGGGAGCAGCCAGGCGGTGGCGGCGATTTGTGGGGCGGAGGGAGCGACCGGATCCCGCCCCCTGGCAGCAGAGCAGGCTCCAGTCCAAGGAGCACAACTGGTTACCGCAGAGCTCCCCAGGGCAATTCCCTGCTGGCCACTGGGGGAAAGCCTTTTTCCTGCGTACGAGCACGTTAACAGACGACTAACTAATCATCCAAGATCGTCACAGAACCCGTGTCTTCCCCGCTTGCCACTCCCAGTTCCCCTGGGTGAGGTTGTGTTAAGAATTCGCTGGCGACCATTGAGGAAATTTCGCACTTCTAGCTGCTCTGCTCACTGACGCTACCAGCCGGTTTTGGTAGACCGATTTGTGCACACCCCTAGGGTTTGGGCTGCAGGTGCCCTAAGTTTGCCCTTTGCTCTAATTGTGGCTATTTGGAGAAGGTAGGACTGTGCATAGTTCCTTACCTGCACCTGGAATCTGGGTCTTCGTGTCTATTAAGTTTTTATTGACAGATTGGAAAAAAAAATAGAATGCAAGACTTTTTGTGCAAAGAAACGCAGGGCTCTATGTATATTGAATTTGGCGATTAGGTTCTCACTAAGGAAAATAATGACCTTACTATTAAGGTCTCCTTTTGCCCTTAAAAGCCTTAGAAAATGGATGACCATGCTGCTGATAAAAATTAAGAAGTTCTTTTCTCCTTCTTGAGAAAGTGGTTTCTCACTGAAATCCTGAGATCTCCTCTAAGAGTTGTAATTATTCAATCTTCTGAACGTTATTAATCTGCTCATTCTGTCTCTGGCTTCCTGGAACTCAAGGCCTATGATACTTGACACTTCCCTACTATTTACAAAATTTCCCTTTTAGCCAAGGCCATGTGAAATATGTAATTAGGTAAATATTCACTTAAATTGTCTGCGAATAGTGCTATAATTAGGTTCTTTAAATTATTTAATATTCATAACCCTACAATGTAATAGTAATTATCTCTATTTGCAGATAATAAGCTGAGGTGCAGTAAGGTTAATGATGTTGCAAAGTTTGGTAAATCCAAACATTTTTGAATTCAGGTCTTTCTGCTTTCAAAGTTAATGATATTCCTTAAGTTACACCCTGTTAATAAAGGTTGTGATTTTTCTTAATGGTTAAAGAGGTACATTTTGTTTTCTAAGAACATAGTTTCTTGTGTATCATACATATATTAATAAGAGAGATTGGGATTTTTTATCTTTAATACAACTTAAAAACTTATTATTTGGCATGTTTCTAAAGCCTAATATTATTATATTCTATAAAAGGATATATTTTATCTAAGTTAAATTATTCTAGAGCTTATTTATTTTAGGGATCTTGTGATAAAGAATGATGCTAAAATGTTTGAACTTATGTATTATACTACCATGATTAGATTTTTCTGAAACTATTTCTTATACTCAAAAAATTTGTTCAGTGTCGGGTGCAGTGGCACATGCTGTAATCCCAGTGGCTCAGGAGGCTGAGGCAGTAGAACCCAGCCTCAGCAAAAGTGAAGCACTAAGCAACTCAATGAGACCCTGTCTCTAAATAAAGTACAAAATAGGGCTGGAGATGTGGCTCAGTGGTTGAGTGCTCCTGAGTGCAATCCCCAGTACCACTCCCCCCCCAAAATTTGTTTTATAAAACCTGAAATTTGGATAAAATAATTAAACCCCACTGATATGCTTTTAAACTACATATCTGAAATAATGAGCACCGTTGGAATATATGCCCAATGAGGGCTGTATACCCAATATCTAGAATAGCACCTGTACAAAATAGGTGCTTAGTAAGTACTTTTTAAATGAATAAATATTTACATCATTTCTCCACTTAAGGAAAAATAATGACTTACAAAATGCTATTTATTACAATATTTTTGTCTATTTAAAGCAGATTGAAAATGTTGGTGGCCTCTCATTTCCACAATGAAAGTAAAGAGGGATATAGTCAGATAGATAACTTGAAGGTTTGCACTAGCTGCTGCTGGGAATGGTAGACAAAACCTGACCATAAGTCCAAAGTGTTTTTGAATCAAGAAATTGGTGTTAGCAGTAGTTTCACATATCATGTGAAATTATGTCAAGTGTATGATTTTAAATGCAGAAAGTTTAATTAATTCAACTTGGAGTTGTATCAAGTAATATGATGCAAAAAGAAAATAAAGAGAAAGTTTAGATGCTGTCTTTGAGTAGCTGCAGGATAGGGCTATGTGATTAATTTAAGGCTAGATAGAAAAATAAAGGAAGACAAAAGACAGAAGAAAAAAATAAGAACCAACAAACAACAACTTTTGATCAAACAGGAATTAGGAAGATAAGAGGTTGTAGTCAAAAGGCAAGATAGTTTTCTTTGAAGTTTTGGTGGTATAATAATAACATTCTTTATGAAGGAGCTCTGGGTGGGGTTGGGTGACAGAATGAAGATCAAGAAAGTGGAGATTAAGATGTTCACATGATAAAAATGTACCAGTGAGTAAGGAAGGAATGAGTAAGATACCAAAGAATGCAGTGGAATGATCTGAAATTGAGTGGATGACTATGCAAATTTGGGGAAGAAGGTACATATCTAAGGAGGAAGAGACTAAGTACATCAAGGGTTGGTATAAGAGGTGGTTATCAGTGCAGTGCTGGGGAGCTACAAGGATGCCAACACTGCCTCCCCCTATCCCCATGGCCCTAGAGTATGGGACACTGGGCAGTCTATATTGAAGGAACAAGTAGGGGAAACTATTCTCAGAAGCAAGCTGATTTTCACCTAAAGCCAGAATATGGAGAAAGTATTAGTGAATATTTTATAAAGGTAGTGGTATTTTTCAATGTTGAATAAGGATTCTGCAAGGTCAGAGTGGTTAGATGGAGGAGACAAAGCCAGCTTCTTGGCCCTACAACCTGTGCATTTCCATAAGGCTCTGCTTAATGCTCTGCTGTCCCTCCCTTGAAATACTTAATTTTTTAACAAAGAGACTACATTTTCATCTTGCATTGTACTCTGAAGAGTATATAACCAAAACTGTAAGGAAGAGTAAAGAAATGGAAGGATGGATGAAGCAAGAAGCAGCATAAACCCTCTGGGGATTAAAGTTTTGGAGAAACTAGATGTAGGAGACTGTATTTTGAGGGGAGACCAAGATTTGCAGGGAGAAAGGGTGTGACAACAAAGTTTCAAATTGATTGGGTTCCACTCCCTTTAGGGCCAGACTGGATGTGATCTGAGTAGCAAAAGTTGAAAGTAGTCGGTTTACTCCATGTTTCTGTATTGGAATGAGTTAGTTTCCTGAGTAACCATAACAAATTACCGCAAATATGGTGACCCAAACCAGAAGAATTCTATTATCTCACAGTCAGGAAGCTTTCATATTCATGCTTCTCTGTATTTATCCTCTACTGTCTTGTGTTCTCTTCTTATAAGGACACTTGGTCACTGGGATTAGGGTCCACTCAGGTAATCCAGAATCATCTCACATGGAGATCCTTACCTTAATTACATCTTCAAAGATACTTTTTCCAAATAAGGTCACATACAAAGGCATTAGAAATTAGAATTTTGACAAAGCTTTTAAGAGACCACCATTCAATCTGCTATAACTAGGGTTGCTGAGACCGCAAGAATAGCTAGGTTGAATGACGCTGGGAGGTGATAGATTTTCAGTTTTATTTGGTAAACTAAAATATCGATAATAAATGAAGATTATTAATACTTCTAAAGCTTTTCAATAATAAAATTTAATAGGTGTGAAATTCTGAATGTTAAAACTGTCCAGAGAGACTTTACATCCCTGAGAATTGTTATCTATCTTTGGGGACAAAAGGGCATTGAGGCAAAAAGTCATGTACCTGAGACAGGGCCAAATCTAGTTAAAAGGAATTGAAGAAATAGGATTATACGCTTCTTCTCTTTCCCCACCCTACATTCTAGGTGACATATGTGGTTCCCTAGTACTAAAGCAGAGGCTATAGTTTGACTGTATTTCATATTTCATCTGACCCTAAAAATGTGAAATTTAGAAGTGACAGAGTAGTGACTTTGTATGTTTCTGACATTAAGGCTAAACTAGTATCCCAAACCATGACTTATAGAGGACAATCTATATATCACAAAGAGGGGAGAAGAATATGTTGAAATCAAGACTAACTGTGCTACCCCATTCTCTTCCTCCAGCTGATCAGTACTCTGAGAAATATCCAAGTGTAATCAGAGCCAAATGGAACTCGCATTAAAAAGCATAACACTCTGGGCCTTACTCCATTCAGCTAAAAACAGAACAGGTGCTATAAATTCTACCAGTTTCCATGCATCATCTTCCCAGTGATGATACTAAGAAGATTCCAAATTGTGGCAGGTGGGTAGCAGCATAACTAGACCAAGCTCAGAGAAAATGAGTATCCATTTGGGGTTGGCCTCTAAGGAAGTTGCCCTAAAGCTAAATTTGCACAACATAATGGCCTAAGGCTTAAGGGCTTGTTTGTGACCCTATTCTTGCTGTGTAGTAGGAAGAATGCTACTAACCCACATTCACTAAGGGAAAAGTTGGGCAATGGAAGGATTGTGAAATGAAACAATTGGCTTTTAGAAGATAAGAGATTGTAGAATGAGAAGCAGAGGGAAAGGAAGAGACTTATTTCTTTTCATTATGTAAAATAGAAATTTTCTAAGAAATATTCCTGGTCAGTGGAGCATCATTTTGCAGAGTAACAGGGTATATGAAAAGAACACTGAAAGCAGGAAACCTTGTATTCCAATCCCAAATGGAACTAACCATGGCTTTGTAACCTCAGTGAAGTCAGTTTTCCCATGGCTGAGGGAAGATAAATGACTAAAGTATTGTCCTGAACTAAAATTCTGCAAGTGTCTGAATCGACTTTCTTATTAAATCTAAAGTCAGCACAACATGTAGAACATTGCCTATCTACTTGCATCCCACTGTAATTCTTATCATTTTCCAAAACAAATCCTATTTTCTGAATAAGCTAAGCAACTTCCCATTCCATGTAACTTCCTTAGTCCAATTTCATCATTGATATATGAAGATATGCTTATATTTAGTACCTTCCACTCTTAAGTAATATCACTAAATTTCTCCAAACTACTATTCATAAATTGTCTGTTTTGGAAAGCTTACTGATGAAAATTTTCCATTTCTGTGCAATTCAT